CAATAATAATCAAGCATAACTTTCTGAATGTGACGGTCGCCGCCATTTTGATTTGCTTGATTCCCTCCTCCTTCGTCTTCTTCTTCTTGGGTTTTACGGCGGTTGACAAACAGCGTTTGGTGCATTACCGCCACCAGCTGCTTGAGTCCCTCCTTCAATCCTAGCAGTAATACCGCACATCGTCACTAGGAGGCGAGGAGTCGAGATAACCGAGATAAGTGTGACGTGTGAACGGTCGTCAAAACTGAGCTTGGCCTGGTTACCGATCCAAGCTTGGACCGGTCTGGGCCTGGTTCGGTTTTTCAAGGGTAGTGTAAATGGGGCTTTAGATGTCCTCGTTGTTCACTGCAGATCCGTTACTCTTAATCAACACTTTTTGAGATATCAAACTGTCTGTCTGCTTTGAAAACTGGGTCCTCTGTTCTGAGCCTTGACCAACTGCCCTTTTTCAATATTTTGACCATCCCCTTACTTAATCCTGACTCAAATTCCCACACTTGGAGTTTCTTGCAATGCTCCCTTTGGTTGCATTTTTCAAAATTTACCTAGAGGCTGGGTAATACTTTGAAATAAAACTATTACGTTTCTCTTATGATATATTCTACATCATATGAACAAAAGAATGTGAATTAAAACTACTATATTGCATAAGTTTATGGGTTTTTTTTTAAGATGTGAGCAAAATTCTCCTAATGTTCACCACATTTTACGACTCTGAAGTCTTTCTTCCTAATATTTGTATTATTAAGGAAGTGAGATGCAATGGCTGGATTTATACCTATAAATACAAAACCTCACTTGATCACTTTAAGGTTCCTCAAAACAAAATTGTGCGACCTTTTATTGTGGTGGAATTTGGTGGTTCCTTGATCAAACTCCACAGTGATCAGGCACTTCAGCAAATATTTTCAAACATATTTTAAATACAAACAGGACCAGAATTTAATAGCATGCAAGTTTTCAGGAAAAAAAGATATCGATTTTAATGACTGGAAGTTTTTTAAATTATGCAAATTACTGTATGTATGAAAATTTAGGGTTATAATGTAAAGCATTGAAGACTGACCATTTAGCAAAAATGTATTGTATTTTAGGTTACATTAACTGATAGCTTGTCCGGCATGATGATGATCCACATCATAATCTGGATTCAGGAATTCTCTAAGATTGTGAGATAGAGATATTTGATGGAACAAGCAGTTCCCCACTAAACCACAAGGTAGCTGCAGTGACCATTGACAGCCTCAGCATCGAACTAAAAAAGCCCAGAGGTATTTTACTGAGGACCAAAACACAATAAAAAAGGGAATGTTGTTGGTTTGTTAGCAGAATCAAGTGAAAACCTGTGAACAGATTTTATGTAATTTCTTTTTCTCAGAGGTCTGTGTTATGCCAAGGAACCATTCATTTAGATTTGGTAATGATCCAGATAATGTGCCAAATTTAGCTATAGGTGTAAGTGACAATTTGGAGCAAAGTTTGTTGATTGGCAGAGGTCTGCACTCTCACAGTGCTTTTTCCAGTTTTTTAAATCTAATTTAAGCTACAATAAATTAACAATAATCCTAATGTATTGGATGTAAGCAGCACTAGCAATCAGATGTGTAGGGTTTACTTTTTCAGTAGAACATTGCCTTTACATAGCCTAAACCAAATTAAAACAAACTGGGCAAGAACAGAAATAAACCTGATCTACAATAAACACAACCCAAGGTGAGGCTAATGTGCAGCCAGTTGTCTGAGGGTGAAGAAGCAACAAGGGCATTGGCAGCACATACTGTAGTTTTCAACTGACTTGGAATATTTGGCCCAGGGGTTCATTTCACATAGCAGGTTTAACAAATTCAGACTGAAATTGATCTGAATTGATCTAACCTAAGGTTGGAAACTCTGAGATGTCAGTTGCACAAAAGCAACTCTGAGTAGGTATATTTAGCGTGCGTAACAAATATGAATAGCCATTATCAGTAGAGCCCTGATTCGATGAGTCAGACCACTGGTCTAGAGATATTAATGCCTAACTGAAAAAAATTATTGGAGAAAAGACAGTGCAAAAGCACTTTAGGAGAAGAGTGCTGCTCAATTTAATGTATACGTTTATATGAAGTGTTCTATGGCAGGCTGTTTCTTTTTGGCAGGTGTTTTAACATGTATTAAAAGTGCTCTCCTCTGTTGTTCCATTTGTAGATCACTAAAATAGGGTTCTTCCTGGTCAAAATCACATTCCTGGACAGAACTGTAATAACAGACTTTAAAATTACAAAAAACAAGAAGTGGAGCCTGTTGACCGTCAGCTTTTGTATCTCTGCTACTTTCTGTATGTCTGTTTCTTTCTCCTTAAACCCAAGTCGACCTTTAGCAGATGGGGGTCCTGAGCCTGCTTGAATTGAACTGACAATCATACTAGAAAGAATTAAGTTTCATATAACTAGAAATGGCCAGTAACAATAGGAATATGGAGATCTGAAATTAATATCTAGATATCCAGAATGTTTATTCTAGATGTGAAAAATTTACTTTTGTTGGAAGTGGTCATTGTTCAACTAGGTGGGACCTGTTCATGGGGTTCCCCCTCATTATGATTCTCACTTTAATTACACGGTAAATAGTCTTAGCAGATTTTTCCAGTATGCTCAGTAGGTTGTTATAACTTTGTGAATCGTAATTCTAACCTTAAGGTAATTCCATTTTCCCACGCAGAATTAATGTGTGTATTCTGAAAATAATTTCAGCTTTTCTTCATGCATCATTAAAAAAACATTTTACTTATACAAACCAAACACAAGTACATTATATATCCTGTCCTCTGAGTTGTAGAATCCTCTCCTGATAAATAGTTTATTCTCTGTGAAAAAATTCAAATCACTCTTTAATAAGATCCTCGCCAAAAGGACACGTATAGTTTGGTCTTAATACCCAATGTTTGTAACACACCTAGATATTTTTTAGATTGTATGTATAAAACTATGAAAAAATCTTCTGTCTAAATCAGGAAATAAAGTGATTGGCTTTAAGGAGAGCAGAGAAGGAGGACACCCTGAGTTTACTGAACAAAACTCTGGGGAGAATGTTACTTCAGTAACAGAGAAACAGAGGTTTATTAAACTCTCTTTGTGAAACGGAAAACTCAGTTTCCCTGATTTAAGGTTTAGAAAACTAAACCTGCTTTGTGAAACGTACCCTTGGTGTTTCAATTCAATTCATCCCAACTAACACAGGGGTCATCACAATCCGTCTCCTGGTAACCTCTAGCAGGACTATGTTATAAAGTTGGAACATTTTAAACTGCCTTCTTGAATGTGACAAAATAATCTTTAAAATAAATTGTGTAAATCTTTAAGAAGGGGTGCTTTCAAAGTGCATGAAAAGAAAGACAATTAAAGGAAACCAGTTTTCAGTGAAAGAAAACATCAGCCTAATCTTCATCATTCTTGTTGTTGTGATCTAAAAGCAGACTAAAATAGCTGAAGTGTACATTGTGTTTTACTTCTTAAAAGTACCATTGTGTTGGTGGTGTAATAATGGTACACAGAGCTTTCATTAGAGAATTATGATTCAAAATTTCTGTTACCGGTATATGTATCCATCAAATAAAGCTGCAGTTTTTGACCTTTCAATCATATTAAAATCATCTAAACTTTTAATTGTATTCCCTGGTACTTCTGAATTGGTAAATCAACTGAAACAATATGTAAAATAAATTTTACAATCATTTTATCAAAAAAGAAAAAAAAAAAATGTCCCGGGATAAAGTGATCAAAGTCATTTCCATATGTTAAATTTGTAAATATCAAAGAATTACCAGAACCGCTTAATCATGTTTAAGTTTTAGCTGCATTTTTGATAAACTGCTCATTGGTCATCTAAACTGCGTATTCATTTTCTTCTTCAAGTTTTTCTTGGATATCTTAATTAAATCAAATAAATGTTAAATTTCCTTTTTTATCATTTTAATTCAGTAATAGAATGAGTCTTTTCGTTACAATATAGATGGCATTCTAATAGAAAAAAAAATGTGCCGCAAAATCAAAGCAACATCTTAAAAAATTTTGCCTGAAAGTTTAAGTTTAGCCGAGATGGCTGTTCCTAGCTCAGAAAAGCTGCTATTAATAGCCATTAGAAGTTTCATGCACAGTCATGCTTGCTACACTGTTACCAGGCAAGTTTATTTCTCATTTATCAAATGTTAAAGTTGGGGACATGTCGGAGGAGTTTTTGCAAGGGACAGATAGTCCAAAATGGGAAATACCTTATCTGATTACCCATGTTTTCACAATTAAATATTAAATAAAAAATATTGTCATCGTTCTTTTAAACCTACCATAAAAGATACTCTATATTATGCTTTTAGTAACATTGTTACTTCTTTATATAAAAGCTAAACTAAATTATAGAAAAAATGCTCAAACTGGCAGAGGACCCTGATGATCATCAAGATCAACAATTCAATGGAGGAAACCCTGTTTTAAAATATATTGATCTAATCCTGTTATCAGCAGTAAGCAATTGACTGTTCTACGAATTCTGTGATGCGTTGGTTACAATGTGGCAAGAAAGGTTTAATTATCTTGTAATACCAGTACAGCTTTCACTTTGACTTATTGGGCTTACAGTGGTTGCCTATCAAAGATAGGCCACATATAATACATGCATTCAATTGTAAAATTAATTCCCTTAAAAGTCCTCAAATGCCAAACCTCTTCAAACCATGTTTCATGTCTACAGAATAGCTGCTGTTTCTGATGTGTGTAACCCTCTAGCTGAAGCGTTTCTTTAAATTGAAGTTAAACAGGCCTTACCAAGACGGAAGATGTCGACAGGGTAATCTACCACTTCTCAACATACAACCACTTTTGTCACTGACATTGATAGTGGTTGCAAGGGGAAGTGGCCAAGTGCTCTTCTTCTAAATTATGGGTGTGTGCGCAGAGGTTGTCAAAAAAAAGGCAATGCAGAACTACTCAAGATCTCAACTAGTATTGGAGGGGGGAAAAAGACAATACAGTTTCCTAAATAACTTTATTTACACCACTGGCACTTTTCAAATTTTCACAAAGGTAACTGAGATACATATAAAAATATCATATATCTAAACAAATTGCAAGACAAAATTTTATAAAAGAGAGGTCCTGACGGAAAATTCTTGATGGCAAATATGAAGCAAGAGTGAATCACTAACAATAACACAGCCCAATCATAATGCAGGCCAGTTAAAGTATTTATATACTGACTGAGCTCCAGCCTTGTCAATATATGGGCCCCTCTCAGAGAGGTGGGGTTGGGACAGTGGTGGTGGGCACCGGTACAGGATGCAGCCCCAGGTCCATAGAAGAAGAGTCGTCTGGTGGTGCCGGACTCTTCTTTTGGGCCTCCAGTTTTTCTGTCAGCTGGTTGTGCAGCTCCTTAAGTGGCTCACTGCACTGTGGTTAAACACAAAGAATCAAAGAATGAGTCGGTAGGCACAGGAATTTTTAAAGGCTAGTATTTCTAAGTTTTGCTCCTAAAAAGCTTTCAAGTCCTAATTAATAAGATATCATTCATTTTTCAGTTAGAAGAGTTATTTTTGCTCTATTTAAAGACATTTGAACTTTTACAAATGAAACCCAACAGGGTTCCTGAAACAGGCTTTTTTGATGGATAGAGAGATCCAGACAGTGAGATCCTGAAAGGGGGTTGCAAGGGGTACATCCGATCAGAATTGAAGGATTTGGGATCTAATAAAGATTGTGAAAGAATAACTCCAAAAGATGAAAATATGTTAAAATCTGCTCAGCAGTTCTGATAATGTGGAAATAAATTTATGTCTATTATTAAGTCAGAAACAAATAAACATTGGGTTTTTTATTCCTTTTTTCCACGTTGTTTTGTGATCTTTTAGGAGAAACAAACTAAGTTAGATTGATTGAATGAAAATAACTTTAAAGCTGAATCCAGTGGTATAAATCATTGTACTTATCAAGTCAAACTAAATTTCAGTAAACGGCTTAAAAAAAAAAAAAAAAGAAAGCCTATAAATTTAAGGTATAGTCATGTTTAAAACTTTTTACCATATATATATATAATTAAAATGAAAAGACAGAGCAACACAAACATTTTCAGTAATTTTATGTTCTAAAATACAGTACAATGGTATTTTTCACTACATTTTTAAACAAAAAAGGGGTTTTCAATATTACTCAATTGCTGATAGATGGGAGAGAAAAAAATTTTTCTAAAAGCAAAATTTCTTAAGCTTTTCTGTAGATGGTTTATCATATATTTATACCCCAGTATTTTTTTTTTATGAATGCACAAAAAGAAAGATTCTACTGATTTGCAGCCCTACATCTCTTCTTTACTCTGGGTTGAATGTGCTGCAAATTGAAATCATGCCTACCTGTTTTGGAGGCTCGAGCGTTTGCATCAGTGTTTCCAGATATGAGGGCAGCACTTTGTGATGGAGATGCAGCAACAAGCGGAGAATGTGTCTGTGGACATTTTCTTTACTGTAAAATATTCACACAAACAGAAAGTGTCCCTAAATGAAGAAAGAGTTTCTTTCCTTTCCACACAAGAAGCCATGATGGCATAAATGATGCTTTGGCTGATGACAAGAGTCTAGATAATACTGCAGTGTTTTCTGTGGTCTACATTTGACCAACATATTTTAAACTGTATCTATAGCACAGAGTGCTGGTTATTCATATTTGTTTCTTTAGAATAATGCATCTACCAGCACTATGAAGCAAACTGTGTGCCCACCAGGATCACTTTGCTGAGTTTAAACACTACAACTTTCAACTTGTTCTTTTGTTTGGGTTTGTTTTTTTTACTATAAGTCCAAGCATTTTAATAAAGATTAACCAAGGAGTGTTGAGGTGAAGGTCACGTGAAATAATGTGCTTTATCAGTTGACCGTTTCTGATCACTTCCTCAAAATGTTTACTTACAAAACAGGAAACATGGGCTCATCTTTCACCCAAGCATCAGATAGCTTTGGTCATTGCTCTTCCTCACTTCTCATTTTTCTCTTAGCTAATGTGAGCTATAAGGGAGTATTAATTTGGCTGTTAGGCTGAGAGAGAGCATATATTAATACTGTACACCATAGCTGTAGTTCTATTCGAGTCAGGTTTTCAGGGTGACATCATAAAACTTGAGAGGAAACTAATACCGCTTCAAAATTTAGATGCCATAAAAACAGAAAATGTACAAGTTTAGACACAAAAGCAGGGTTTTCACAAATGTGCCATAAACTGTGAAAAAAAATGCCCATTACAAATAGACATCACTGTAAGACATGCATGTCATTTGCAAGTAAAGAAGTAGATTTTTAGATGAGTTGTCTTTTAATGTCTAAACAAGGCAAGGTTTGAAGAAACTACAATTTCTAAAAAATAAAATATGAAAAAAAAAGTATTTTGCTACTTTATATGTTTTTTTTTTAAATGCCTCCATATTATTAAATAGAGAATTGCATGTCCAAATATGTCAGAAACCATTCATACTTTCATAGCATGTCCTATTTTTTTATGGATTGTGAATATGAGTATGACTTTGGGAGTGACTCTGATTTCATTTCCAAATCGATATAAATTGAATGTGTATAAATTGCAGTTGGGAACGCCAGCTATAAGGACACTAACCTGGAGAATGACGTTAGGAGGAAGCTATCAAATACAACAGTGCAAAACTCCTCTGATCCAAACTCATCAGAGAGCAGGGTGAGGTGCCCAGTCAGCAGGTGTAGGAAGATGTCACCAAAAGCCATGTCATTATACGTCTCCACTTCAAGCCAAAAACAAACACAAACAATATACAACATTAGAAATTCAGTATGTAGACACAGAAAGTTCACGTCTCTACTAATTATATCAAAAATGTATTTGCAGTTTGGTTCCTTTACCATTCATCTCAATATCAATGGCATCTATATCCTCATTTACTTCCTCAAGGATCAAACATTTTTATTTATTTTTTAACCAAGGATGGGAACACACATCACTCACCCAGAGCAGGCAGCAACCTCTGCAAAGCATTCTTGTTCCTCAGTTTGGCGATGTGGAGAATATAGTAGAGCCCCATTTCAGAAGCAACTCTGTTGTCCTGGAGGTATCTAAGGTAAGACAGAGGCCCTCCTTACTTTTCATTTTTCTTTCTTCGATCTCTATTCTGAAATACAGATACTAACAATTCTGTGTGTGCTTGTTTCACATTTAGTCCATAATTGTAAAATTAATAATCCCCAAAATAAGTTCCTGATTTAAAGACAAAACAAATTTAACTTCTAATAAAGTTGCTTCTAACAAGACCAGCCTTGGTCTTTGCATGGTGTTACCTGGTGAATGCATCTGGGAGGGCTGTGGGATAAGTCAGGGATAATTTCTCTTCACTGGGAAGCTTCTGTTCTACAACGAATGTGTGATCATCAACAACCACAGACATCATTGCGGGCAGGAAGCGGGTCACCACCTCTAAATCCTGATATGGACAAAACAAAATATTTGATTGAAGATGCTATGAAGAATTTTAATAATATTTTATGATTATTATTTATGTCTATATATTTATTTATTTCCTCTTTAATTTAGGCAGGCTTTAAAATTAAACATGCTTTTAATCTGACAGAGTTATCTCCTCATTCTTTCATCTTTTCTCCTGTTTTTCCTTTCCTGTTCTACTTACATTGCAGGGTCCATATAATCTGTAAAAATCCCTGCATAATTATAGTAAAGCAATTTATATGCATAAATCAAGTGGAACACTATGGCGATAGCCGTACTGCTCCACTTGTGAAAGTAAAGTCTGTTGGGCTCTTTTTGGCATCAAGACAATTATTCTTATTGCCACATCGTCAGACAGGACACTGTTCAATTGATCGCCTTCACATCCAGGTATTAATGACCATTTAAATTTAAATACCAGGGATTGTACCTAGGTGGCTAATTTTCATCTCTAATCACATTACTTTAAAATAATAACAAAATTATTTATTATTTATAACAAACTTTACATTTACAGAAAACTGCAATGTGCAACATAAAGTAAGACATTAAACTGCGGATAAAATACACTCATACAATAGAAAAATCCATTTAAATGATATCATTAAAAACATTGTGTAAAACCAAAGGTTATGCTTCCTGAGTTTCAGGCACACCACTTTGAGCAGATTACCATTTTCTACGGGATCAATGAAGCTCTGATTTGATGTACCAAAGCTGTGTTGCCTTATAAGAAGAATGTCTCAAGACAGTGTATTATTACTTTTTTCCATCATTTTCCGATTGACTGACTTTAACCCATGTAATGGATGTACGGATAAAAAAAATTCTAAAAATTAAAAATTGAGATATCAGTTAAAAAAATGATGCATTTTAAACACTGAATAATCAAATAATGTCTGAGAATACAATAACAAAAAAACAAAAAACAAATTCTATATGTCTCAATTTTGACTGTCCCAGTCTGTGTGAACGTCACAGTTGAGGCACTGTGTTAGAACCAATAATCCATCTTTCCTGTAAAAATTTTCCAATGCTGGACGTCCTTGGCATTTTGCAGTCAACATCATAGTGAGGTAATTTAAGTGTTCATACGCACCATACGAGGCTCTTTAAAGACCTGGCTGTCGATCATGTCCCATGCTCCCTGACCCAGAGACAGCATCCTCAGAAGGAGCATCAGGTCGGGGCTGTCCTGTTAACAATGAACACATTGCGCTGATGTGGCAGAAAAAAACAATTAAGTTGAAAACCAAACAAAAATAAAAAACAATAAATATCTATCCAACTTTTATATATATATATATATATATATATATATATATATATACTATTAACTCAGTTTTCCAACATCCGCAAACGGCAGCTCCTATCACAGCTAGAAATTGACGAGGTACAACTGACATGCTGCGGCAAGGGGGAGTCAGGACAACAGGTCAGTAGGGAAATATCATCATCCCAACACACAGAGATTGGGTCCCCAGCCCCAACAACAACAAGCCCACTAAACGTAAGGGCAGCTGACCTGTGACAGCAGATCATAACGAAACTGGATCCCCTAGTACGACGACCAAGACTGCCATGGCTAAGTGACAGAGTACCCTCTGAAAGTCTTCTAGAAGATGTAAATGCAGCACTACATACTATCCCTACTAAGACATAACTGAGACCAACGAGCTGACCTACGCCACAGCTACAGTGATCCTAGAGATGCTTGGCTATAAGATACACACCACAGGCCACAAAGCAGAGCCACCATGGAGAAGAAGGCTGGAAGCCAAGATCAAGGCACAACAAAGAGAGGCTAGTCAGCTCTCAGACCTGCAGAAAGGTGTAGGGAAGAGGTTACCTAAGTACAACAAGCTGTCGATTCCTGAGGCTCTAGAAACTGCCAAACAAAGACTCGCCGCCCTGGCCACCCGCCTAAAGAGATACAAGGGAGAAGCAGAAGCCAGGAGAATAAACCAGGTGTTCTCCACCAACCCATCCAAAGTGTACTCACAGTGGCAGGGTAATTCAAGATGTGATCCACCCAGGGCTGAGACTGAACAGTACTGGAGAAACATATGGGAGAAGGAGGCATCCCACAACACCAATGCTCAGTGGCTAGAAGATCTAAGAACAGATCACAGCAATCTCCCAGAACAAGAACCAGTAACCGTTACAATGGCAGATGTCCAAGAAAGAGCGGCAGGTATGAAGAGCTGGACAGCACTAGGCCCTGACATGATCCACACCTACTGGCTGAAAAAACTAACCGCACTTCATGCACGTCTCGCAGCACAAATGAACCAACTGCTGATGGATGGGACCCACCCAGAATGGTTAACCCAAGGACGGACAATCCTGATCATGAAGGATCCGCAGAAGGGAACAACCCCATCCAACTACCGACCAATAACTTGCCTATGTACAACATGGAAGCTCCTGTCAGGCATCATAGCGGCTAAGATGAATAGGCACATGGCTCAATACATGCACCCTGCCCAGAAGGGAATAGGCAGCAACACCAGAGGAGCCAAGCACCAGCTACTAGTGGATAGAGCAGTCACCCGAGACTGTAAGACCAGGCAGACAAATCTGTGCACTGCCTGGATTGACTATAAGAAAGCCTAAGACTCAATGCCACATACATGGATACTGGAATGCCTGGAAATGTACAAGATCAACAGGACTCTAATAGCCTTCATCAAGAACTCAATGAAGCTGTGGAAAACAAGTCTGGAAGCCAATGCAAAGCCAATAGCACAAGTCACCATCAAGTGCGGCATATACCAGGGTGATGCACTATCCACCCTGCTGTTCTGCATAGGCCTGAACCCCCTCAGCCAGATCATCACAAAGACTGGCTACGGATACCAATTCCGAAGCGGAACAATCATCAGTCACCTCCTCTACATGGATGACATCAGGCTGTATGCCAGGAGTGAGCGAGACATCAACTCACTGATCCACACTACCAGGATCTACAGCAAAGACATTGGGATGTCATTCGGACGCATGGTCTCAAAGAGAGGAAGGATGATCAGAACCGAGGGGGTTGAACTACCAGAAGGCCACATAACAGATGTTCAGGACAGCTACAAATACCTTGGGGTGTCACAGGCTAACAGAAACCACGAGGAGATGGCAAGAAAGACTGCCACAGCTAAATACCTACAAAGAGTAAGGCAGGTCCTGAAAAGTCAGCTGAATGGGAAAAACAAGATCCAAGCCATCAACACATATGCCCTACCAGTCATCAGATACCCCGCTGGTATAATAAACTGGCCAAAGGAGGAGATAGAGGCTACTGACATCAAGACGAGAAAGCTCCTCACAATGCATGGAGGGTTCCACCCCAAATCCAGCACTCTGAGACTGTACACCAAGCGTAGCGAGGGAGGCCGAGGGCTAGTGAGTGTCAAGACCACTGTCCAGGATGAAACAACTAAGAACCAGGAGTACATCAGAAAGATGGCCCCCAAAGACAAATGGCTTGGTGAGTACCTCAGGCAGGAGAAAACCGAAAGTGAGGACAAGAAAGAGGAAGGAGAACCATCATGGAGGGACAAGCCGCTGCACGGCGTATACCACAGACAAATAGAAGAAGTGGCTGATATCAAAAAATCCTACCAGTGGCTGGAAAAGGCTGGACTGAAGGACAGCACAGAGGCACTAATCATGGCAGCACAAGAACAGGCACTCAGTACAAGATCAATAGAGGCCAGGGTCTACCACACCAGGCAGGACCCCCGATGCAGACTGTGCAAAGATGCCTCTGAAACAATACAGCACATAACAGCAGGGTGTAAAATGCAGGCAGGAAGTGCATACATGGAATGCCACAACCAGGTAGCTGTCATAGTGTACAGGAACATCTGCCATGAGTATGGGCTGGAAGTCCCAAGGTCAAAATGGAAGACACCTCCTAAGGTAGTTGAGAATGACCGAGCTAAGATCCTATGGGACTTCAAGATCCAGACTGACAAACAGGTGATGGCTAACCAACCAGACACCGTGTTGATCGACAAACAGCAGAAGAAGGCAGTAGTGATAGATGTGGCAATCCCAAGCCACAGCAACATCAAGAAGAAAGAACACGAGAAGCTTGAGAAATACCAAGGACTGAAGGAGGAGCTAGAAAAGATGTGGAAAGTAAGAGCAGCAGTGGTGCCAGTGGTAATTGGAGCACTGGGGACTGTGACCCCCAAACTGGGAGAGTGGCTACAGCAGATTCCAGGTAAAACATCAGAGGTCTCTGTCCAGAAGAGCGCAGTCCTAGGAACAGCTAAGATACTGCGCAGAACCCTCAAACTCCCAGGCCTCTGGTAGAGGACCCGAGCTTGAGGATGACACATACCACCCCACGAGGGGTGAGAAAACAGTTTATATATCTATAGATAGATAGATTGATAGAATAGAATTCAATTTTATTGTCATTACACTGTCACAGGTACAAACCAATGACACATAGTTTACATCTATGCAGAAACATTATACAGGATACAAATATTTATATGTGCAGAGACTATGCATGTATTGACTATAAATAGTATATATAACAGAGAGTAATTATAAAAGGCTAGAAAATCAGAGGGTGCTGGTACCACTCCATCACAGGGCAGATAGAATTGCAGTCCTTAACCCTATTTTTGTCAACAACATTGGAATGATCAGTGGCAATATCACAGCGCCATCAAGGGGCAGATATACAGTATGTACTATGGTGTTTAAGAAGAATCGTGTCATTAATGGAAAGATACCCTGTTACTCTGTGTGAACTGAGCCAAAGTCCAACTTAATTTAATACAATTGGCGTTAGTCCTTCACCTGACCCTGAGCAGAAAACAAGAGGAAATGCCCTCACTTTAGATCAGTGTTCTCATTTTGCAAGCAAAATACAATAAATATAGTCTAACTCTGTCACAAGTACATAAAATGTGACAGATCCACCATAAGGTCAGGCAAAATATCTAACTTCTTACAAAACATAAAGGATGTCCTCAGTTGATTTTGTTATCCAGAGTCATTTCTGATTATCATAGAACATTCGTCAGATGTGCACTCTGTGACGAGGTACGAAGATAACACATTTGGCTGATTTGAAAAAAACATAATTAGGGGACACACTAAAGTTACAGGTCCAACCGGTGTTGCGTCCAATTGAGCAAGAGAACACTATGGTCACTGAAGCATTGGACTCTTTAGCAGTATTAGGAGAATCTCCATAACTTATCAGCAGAAAGAAATATTAGGTGACCAATCCTGAAAATATATGTTGTTCTTGCGCATCAGAGATGCTAAAATTGTATTTATTCCATTTGGTCCTTTAAGTTCTCTCTTTGACATGATTCTGGGTTTAGCCTCTTTTTTTGTCATCTAAATATTTTTGATTATACCAAATAAGGCTACATTAACCCAAGCTGTTAAAGCTCCATTTCTTTTTTTTTTCAAACTGTACTCACTCTTGGTAAAGCATCTTGACTCAGCAGCTCCTGTATGTTTCTTATTATACTTAGGACCAATGTGTTGCAGGCAAACGGATCACACAGAATCATGGACAAATCTCTGAAATTCCAAAAAACAAACAAAACAAAACCTGTCTTTAATAAACTGAAACAAACTTTAAAAGGAAACAAAAACTGATAATAAACAGCTGATCTGTTACCCAAGGACCTGCTCTTGTCCCTTCTTCACACCATCCAGGAAACCTTGCAGCTCTCTGGCTCGTTTGCCATCCACAAATTTCTCACGGATGCAGGCGTCCAAACACCAAGTAAACTGTGAGGGCAAGGCAAGTTTATTTATGTTTCACATTTTGGTGGAAAGACATGTCAAATTGGTGAATATCAGAAAAAAAAAGATACTTTTATGCACCAGCATAAAAGCAATATAAATATCTGAGTGGAATTAAGGGGACACATGAAAATAAATTAATTATAATAAAAAAAAAATCAAATAGTCCTTTTATCTTTTTTAAATGACATAATTAAGGAAAAGATAAAACGATTAAGAAAATGTCACAACAGTTACGAAGACTGCAAATATAACTAATACATTTTAGATATCACAGTTCAAGGCCACTCTGAACAAAAATGTCTAAATAAATGTAGGGTATCAGCGCTTTTGCAGTTTTCGTGGGCTTTATTCCAGATTAGTTGGGCATAATACTGCGTTCACGCCGAACATGATTTGAGCAGCAAAGAAGTGTCTTCATCTTTACATTTGTCCACATCGAAGCTCCGATGCATTAGTAAGGTGCTTCATAAACAGTCTGATGTGCGTTGTGAGGAGCTACCCTCTTCTCTTTGCCTATATCTTGTACAAAACGGATGAAACTGAAAGAGTGGCTTTCTTTATCTACTAAATAAAGATAGAGAATACCATTGTTGGATGCCTCGGCACTGTCAGGATTCACTGACTTTTCTAACTTTTATTAAATGCAGGTAAATATAATAAGTTTTATTGCTTTCTGCTCCCTTTCATTCACGATTTTGGTTGCTACACAAATTAGTTCTGTTATGGCTGTGTCTGATTGTCTGCCCCAATGCTTTGCCAGGGGGGCTCTCCTGGCAAAGCATTATGCAATTAGCTGTCCCAGCGCCACGCTGTCACCATGTGGTTGGGTAACGACAGCGACAACTAATAACAAACCGTGCAGTGGAGGCGGAGTTACATGATCCACAGGGAGTAAAAAGTAGTGATAATCTGTTCAAATGGTCAGTTAACTGAGTTCAATATAGGTCCACAATATAGTCCATGCTCTACAAAGGGATTAGGGCGGACATTCGGACACAGCCTATGTTTTTTATTTAGCGGAATAAATAGATTAGGTAAACTGAACCAGATATTTCAGAGGAATTCAGAGATGTTCACCGCCTACTCCAAGAGCAGCGTCTTCTCCAAGGGCGTCGCTTCAAGAGCTAATTTTCAGCCCACCTGAGCCTAGTTTGACAACCTGCATCCTACATCGGTGATCGCATATCCTGTAGGCCAGCAACAACCCTCTCATTGGTTGATTCAGCTCTTCGAGCAGCAAAACCTAAGATTTTCCAACTCAAGCATCAGCTTCATGTGACCTGCGTGGCAAGCATCAGATAGCTAACAATAGAAATATCAGAATGGTCCCAATTGGCTGCTGTTGGCAGACCTGCTTGTCACCCTTGCTGAAGAAGGGAGGCTGTTACACTCTACTCAGCATATGTAAATTCTGTTATTCTTTGAAACACCAGAATTTGCATATCACTTGATATTTTGTTCATTTTTACATCAAATCAGTCATTATGGTCATGGGTAGTAAGTGGATCAGTTACTCAGTACTTAAGTACCCTTTTTACCATATACTTTTTAACTAGTATTTGAGTATTTTCTGAGTAAAAATATGATGAAGTAGTTCTACTATAACAAAACTAATGGACTTAAGAAAAGTTTATTTCCCAAAGCTCCAGTTATATCTTCTCCCTGCTGTCAGCAACTAAATATCCCTCCTAAAAACCCACCTCCAGATGAGTTCAGCACAAACTGCACTTGGTACATGCTACAATCCATGAACATCTGTTCTTGTGTTACATTTTAAGTCTGCTCTAAGGATGCTGGTAATTTTTTTTCTATAAGTGCTATTGATGCATGCCTGTGCATGTGTATTTAGTCAGAGAGAGGTATACATACTTTGAGCTTTTTTTGTTGTTTTTAACTCATGTTTCAACTCATGCTCATCTCGCTAAATTATGCTATTACCTTCTCACTAATGCAGCTAAATCTTCAAGCACCAATGTTTACTCCATTGTTGACTTTAGATTGTATCCTCCAAGTGTAGCTTCGTTTGTTCCATCAGCACTTTTGACAACAGTCCGCATATTGATGTTGCTGAACTGAAGTATTCTAAAATCTATTCTCTGGGAGATGGAGAGCTGATGCTCTTCAATGCTGCACCTGAAAGATCAACTCAGTTTTCCAGGCGCTTCAATATAATAGAGTGATCAGCAGTGTTGAATCTTCCATAAAGGTTTGATAATACCAGCACTGTGGTTCTTCCATTGTTTGCATTTACATGGATGTCATTAAGCACCTTGACAAGGATGGTCTCTGCACTGTGGTGAGCATTAAAGCCTGACAGTAAGACGCCAAAACGGCTGATTATTGTTAAGAAAGTGTTGAACTGTTAAAGTGCAGCTTTGTCAATAATCTTAATGATGAAGTTGCAACAATAAAGTATATAAAAGTAAGGACTAGGCCTTAGCTATTTATACCCACCTTGTGGCAGGGGTCCACAGAGCAAATTTCGCTTATGTCCAGGTCATGTAAAGACATTAGCAGCTCTGCTCTCAGAGTGCAGTAGTGAACATTTCGAGTTCGCAGGAAGAGTGTCCGTAAGAACTGCAGCACCATGTCATACAGCTTTACATTCTTCCCAATCATTTGGGTGAGTTTTAACACCACCTGCAACCAAAGAGAAAAAGAAGAACAGAGGTAGAAACACAGTGCAGAATAATGAGTTTGACTCAGAAATCCTCATAGCAGGAAAGGCTGCAACTAGTGTGGAAGTACCTCCCTGCTGCAGCTGCTTTCTACTAGGTATCCTAATCCACAGGGAGCGTTTCCGACCAGAGCGGTCAATTAATCACTTTACAAAAAAACTAGTAAAGTGGTTAATTGGCCAGTATTTACTGCATCTCCTCAGCCTGACTTACAAGAGTTGCTTTGATCAATTGAATCATTCACATCCACTGGAACCGAGGAGTTATGAAAGGGTTGAGTGCTGCGGGATTTAAGTTATTGATTCTAAGTAGTGCTGCACCGATACCACTATCGGGTGGGGCCCCGATCCAGCACTAAGATGGTGGTAACAGTATCTGGGAGTACCAACAAATAGGGCACCAATACATTTTTTGAGAGCCAAAAGTTTATTTATCTATTCTTACCCATTCCAGATAGGCAATAAAAAGTTCTACTGGATTCACTTTGTATTAGTCTTTTTCCTGCTGTCAGAAAGGTAGACAGCAGCTTGACAAGGCCATGATGGCAATTATTTTAGATCCAAATAGTATGAAGTTCTTCATAGATATATATATATATATATATATATATATATACACACACACACAAATCAATTTCAAACAGATGGTATCGGCCAATACTGCACAGCCATATATTGGATATGGGTATCAGGGCCTAAAAATGGCATCTGCGCAACACTAATTCTAAGGTGATTGTGAAAATCTCTCTTGCCAGATGAAGCAAAACACTAGACTAATGATGAATGTGCTTTTTCTGGGGAACATCTTCTGTGTTAAGCTGGGTATACACTGTACGATTTTTTTATTGCCCTTTTCGGGCCGACTTTTCAGGCGTAAGCTAAATTTTTGATCGGGCCGACTTAGGGCTGGGCGATATAGAAAAAAAGCTTATCGATAAAAAAAAATGCATATTGATCGATATCGATAATTATTGAAAAGATTTAAAACCATATTTTATGTGCAGCTCTGCCTGGACTTTTTATAATATTGCTAAATGATTTAATTTTATTAAAAAACACAAACACAGAATTGTTAAATAACTTAAGAGACCTGGGTTATGTTATCAAATACTGACAAAGAATAAACTAAAATGACCAGAAAAGTGACCAAAATAAATAAAACAAATAAATAAATGACCCCACCCCCCCCCCATTCTTCTAGTTTCCTGCTTTAACCTGAGTTATTACTTTTAAGTTGCTGGCCTCTCAGCATTTTTATCTCAATTGTTAGAACTACATGGGAAACTGCCCAAAAATGAAAATATATATATATTTTCCCGAAATTCCCGAAGATTCCTTGGAGGAGAGCCACGCCGGGGCCTACACAGCTCGTACTCCTGCGGGTGTTAGCGGCTGAGATGATAAAAAAAAAAAAAGTTGGTTGTGTTATCAGACTTCGTTTTCACTGGTTCCCTACACATTTTACAGATGACTGTGGTTTGTTTTTTGTCCGACTTGCCATGACCGAAATACTGCCAAATTGTCGAACTACAAAAACCCTTCTTTGGAACAATTTCCTCCGCCTCTCCTTGCTGCGACATCTTCATGTGCTCAGTGTTGTGGTTTGAGAGGGCGGTGCTTTGTGACGGCGTGCCTGGGTCCGCGATTGTGATTGGTTGGGAGGAAGTAGTGACTAGCATAAACCTACATGCTAGGCTACAATGAGAAGGAAAGAAAACTGCGTTTCTTTTTTATCGAACTTTTATCGACTCTCTTTTTTTCTATTGCTCCACACGTCTATCGATCGATATATATCGTTATTGAATTATCGCCCAGCCCTAGGCCGACTCAGCTTGATCGTGCATCGTGTAGAGCACAGGGGGTAACGAAGGGCGATCAGCCTCTCACAACCACCTCCCGATCAAGAGTCATGAGGTCAGGAGAAAACCAATTATGTTTGTATTTCAGTCGGCCATCATGGGCAAATTGCTCAGTGGGCATGCGCAAACAATGATTCTTCTTCTTCTTCCTCTCAGATGAAAACACAAAAGCATGGCGGGGATGAGAGTGAAGCAGAGTTCTTTCTGTAAAATTGACAGACTGTAGTAGCCACTTTTGCTCAGCCACGTCTTTGTCCAAATACGTTGTCGCCTTTTCTTTTTAGGGCTTTCAGCACAAAATTTCAAATTGCCAAGGTAGCGCGATTCTCTCTAGTGAGCTTCATATTCCCCTTCTGCTCGTTCGGCTTCTGGATAGACGAGTCCGAGTAGCGCCATCTCACTGAGGAGCAGAGTCCGATGTGGTTTTTGTGAGCAGGTAGATCGCATCAGAGCATCGGGTCGCACAGTGTGAGAACATACATCGTGAGCTGTGAATTCACACTGTTCGACAAACCCTATGGTTTTGTCGAACAGTGTGAGCTGTAGCTGTGTGCAACAATTGAAAAATATCGCATAGCGTATGCCCAGCTTTACTGTCCCATGTTGGCAGCATTCAAGTATGGGATTAAAAACCAGTTCCTATTTACAAGTCCTGAATTTTAGTAATTTTCTTTATGATAATAAACAGTTATAATAAAAGAATATATAATATATATCAAAAGTAATCGCTTTTAGTTCAGCGTTTAAGACCAGTAAAAAGTTAAATAAATGAAACCACACCTTTAATAGAGTGAATTAAAATATGTCCACCCTACCTCGCCCTGGCGCCGTGCTTTTGGTGTTGGACTGAAGAAGTTGTGTAGAATGGAGAGGTCGCTGCTGAAAAGAGCTGCTTCCTTCTCCACAATGTACTGCTTCAGAAGGGGGGATACCTCGTCTCCGAACAGAGCCTGGTTGTCCTGCCATATCTGTCTTTTTACCTCGACAGCACAAACTTTGTAGAGCTCCTTGTCCGCCATGACCATCTTCAGTTTCTTTTCTGGTACCTGAATAAAGATTGATGTGGGATGAAGTAATGGTCAGACAAGATGGTGTTAACCTTTTCCTTTCAACTAATTGATGCAAAGCTAGCAAAGACATTTAAAACATCTATTTAAGTTATTGACACTTGAAACAAAAAAGTGAGAAGTAAATTTAAAAAGGGCTTTCTCGGAACTACATGGGTAGCAATCACCAAGCTTTATGTCAGTGGCTTGTCAATGAATCAAATGTCAGAATCACTACAGGTCCATAACATCACATTGGTTGAGTTTAAAACTAAGTCCCCATCACTTCTGCATAAGTCATGGAGAAAATAATTAGACCATGGGGTCATGATCATCGTTTTTTCATGTAATCATCTTAAGAAAAAAAAAAAAATACTAAGAAAAAAGGTGCTATGATATTTTTTTTTTGTTACTTCATAATTCTGAACAATAATACATTCTCGTCAATAAAGTAATACGGCAATGAAAGCTCTGAAGATGACTGGTGTAACATTAGTTCAGTCTGCCGATACACTTTCCTGAACTGGAACAAATATTTATCTCTCTTAGAGTTGAAAACTGTACTTTTCAATGAAGATTACTTTAGACTAGTCTTAACTTTAAAGAAATACACTCTATACATTTCTGATGTGATAAATGACTATTCCCGCTGGAAATTTCTGGTTTTTGGTGCAATATCTACATAGGTATATAGAGGCCCATTTCCAGCAACTATCACTCCAGTGTTCTAATGGTACAATGTGTTTGCTCATTGGCTTAGAAGGCTAATTGATGATTAGAAAACCCTTGTGCAATCATGTTAACACATCGGAAAACAGTTTAGCTCGTTACAGAAGCTACAAAACTGACCTTCCTTTTAGAAGATTGAGCATCACATTTGTGGGGTCAATTAAATGCTCAAAAAGGCCTGAAAAAGAGAATTTTCATCTGAAGCTCAACAGTCTATTCTTGTTCCTAGAAATGAAGGCTATTCTATGTGAGAACTTCCTAAGAAATTGAAGATTTCCTATAATGGTGTGTACTACTCCCTTCAGAGGACAGCACAAACAGGCTTTAATCAGAGTAGAAAAAGAAGTGGGAGGCCGCCTTGCACAACTGAGCAAGAAGATAAGTACATTAGAGTCTCTAGTTTGAGAAACAGACGCCTCACAGGTCCCCAACTGGCATCTTCATTAACTAGTACGCGCAAAACACCAGTGTCAACATCTACAGTGAAGAGGCGGATTCTGGGCTTAATGGCAGAGTGGCAATGAAAGAGCCATATCTGAGACTGGCCAATAAAAGAAAAAGATCAAGATTGGCAAAAGAACACATACATTGGACAGAGGAAGACTGGAAAAAATTGTTGTGGACGGATGAATCCAAGTTTGAGGTATTTGGATCACAAAGAAGAGTGTTTGTGAGACGCAGAACAAATGAAAAGATGCCGGAAGAATGCCTGGCGCCATCTGTTAAGCAGGGTGGAGATAATGTGATGGTCTGGGGTTGCTTTGGTGCTGGTAAGGTAGGAGATTTGTACAGGTTAAAGGGGGTTCTGAATAAGGAAGGCTATCGCTCCATTTTGCAACGACATGCCATACCCAGTGGACAGCGCTTTATTGGAGCCAATTTCATCCTACAACAGGGCAATGACCCTAAAAACACCTCCAAATTGTGCAAGAACTATTTAGAGCAGAAGCAGACAGCTGGTAGTTTATCGGTAATGGAGTGGCCAGCGCAGTCACCAGATCTGAACCCCATTGAGCTGTCGAGGGAGCAGCTTGACCGTATGGTACACAAGTCCACATCCAACCAATCCAACTTGTGGGAGCTGCTTCTGGACGCGTGGGGTGCAATTACTCCTGATTACCTCAACAAATTAACAGCTAGAATGCCAAAGGTCTGCAATGCTGTAATTGCTGCAAATGGAGGATTCTTTGATGAAAGCAAAGTTTGATGTAAAACAAAAAAATCCTTAATTCAAATACAAGTCATTATTTCTAACCCTGTCAATGTCTTGACTCTATTTTCTATTCATTTTACAACATATGGTGGTGAATAAGTGTGACTTTTCAGGAAAAGACAAAATTGTTTGGGTGACCCCAAACTTTTGAACGGTAGTGTAGTTATTACCATAGGGATATAACTAGGGCTGCAACTAACGATTATTTTGAAAATCGATGAATCGGCCGATTATTTTTTCGATTAATCGATGAATCGGACACAAAATATTTTTTTTATATTAACCTCTTCATTCCAAAATAAACATTTTAGACAGAACAAACAAGCACACAAGTACAGGTTTCTCATTAACTGTACTGGTGCAATATGAAAAATAAATGTTTGTGTTAAAACTACGCAAACTTACATGAGAAATGTAGCTGTACATCCACAAAATATAGGGTATTTTGTTTCATAAAGCGCAAAAAGAGACATTTTTGTTTTTAAAGCCCCTAAGGGGTTCAAACAATAGGCCCCCCCATTTCAACAAATGAGTTTTTAGACTAGAAGAGTTCTGCCTTTTAAGACAGGAAAGTATAGCAGTTAAAGTTGCTACTTGAGAAAATACTGAACCATAGAGATAAAAATAGCCCTGTGATTCAAATTATAAATTGTATTTGGAATAAAATGAGAGAACTAGGGGTGCTAAAAAACACATCCTCCAAAGACAGATATTTACATGGGAATGTGGCAGATAATTAATTGACATATTACTGATCTTGCTGGATTTTATTCTGCTTTACTTCCATAAATTGCAGGATCTTCTTTACTTTATCTTTGCCAGAAGATTTAAACTTTAAAAGCCTTGCCCTCATAATTTGCAAATTAATTTATTTATAAAGAAAATATAAACGCTGCTTAAGCTAATTCAAATGAAATTAAAAGTAAAATAAGTAGCCAACCTTATCACTGTCTGTAACCTACTAACACGGTAAGGAAAGCATCAGATGAGCTACCTGAGAAACTAACTTACGTTTCCCCACTTTAAAATGAAACAAACATGGTTACTCATCCTGCTGATCAGCTCTCCTCACTGCCATTGAAGGCTCCAACGTGTTTTCTTTTCAGGTGCTGCGTCATAACAGTGGTGCTTCCGTGCCATGTTCATTTGTTTTTACAAAAGTTGCATGTTACGACTTTTTTCACTTTACAAAGTGCAGGCTATTTTAATTATTGTGATCAATTTGCGCCGTCAATCCCGGGGCATGCGCGCTTCATTTGCAGTCTGGACGCTGAGGGTAAACTCCTCACTAAAATCCTGCGGCTCTGACTGCCCCGCTGAGAGGGATTCCTGTGGGAGAGGGAGAAAGGGGTTGGGATGGGGGAGGCGCCCCACGGCAGCAGCTGCCGCTGGAGGAGAAGAGTAGGAACGATACATGCTTTCACGTAAGAGTCTCCAAAAGCCGCCAGTGACACCGTAAAAAGTCGCCAGATTTGTCGCTAGTAGCTTTTAAAAGAAATAGTCGCTGGAGGGGTCGGAAAGTCGCTGAGTTGTCAACACTGCAACTGCGGCGCTGACTCGCTCTGCCGTATTTTTTTTTCTTCCGGGATGACGGCGGCGGCGGATGACGCATTAATCGCGCGACACAACTAATCGATGATTAAATTCGTTGCCAACGCTTTTAAAAGTCGATTTTTATCGATTTTATCGATTCGTTGTTGCAGTCCTAGATATAACTCCTGCATTCAGAGCAAATTTCCCCTCTTTTTCCTTCCCTCCTTTCAGATTGCTATGGTTTAATAGATACATACAGTGAACTATTAGATTTGTTACTATAGATAGTAACAAATCTAATGGTTCACTTTTCAACAGCAGTAGAACATCAATACATCCATTACTAATTTTATTAAAAGCATGTAAACATTTTGAACCTTCTTCTTAATAGTCCATCAGAAAGCTGCAGCTGATCCAAAACTCTGCCGCCCGTGTTCTCACTAGCTAACTAACTCCCAGAAAACTGAAAAAGTGTTAAAAGCCTGAGTTCTTTGAAGGCAGAGTTAAAAACCCATTTATTTAGAGCTGCCTTTGACTGCTGAAGTTAAACTGCTAAATGACATATTATTATTTAAAAATGGTTGGGAAGTCATATTCAAATTTCAAATCATTCTGGCTTAAACATGTATAAAAAATTTCTATGAATTGAGGAACGGCCATCCACTGTACTGCCAGACAGAAGGCATGTTGGCTTGCAACAGTTAACATATCTGGCAGCCGAAAATAGTATCTGATTCTTTGCTTTGCATCTGGGGATATAAAGTTTGGATTCAGCTATGCATTGATGCAAACTTGTTCCTGGATGTTTTTCTAGGCAGTGTTCTTGAGTCAATCTGAAGACAACATGAATTTCAGAGGCCTGTAGTAAGTGTTTATACATGCAGGTTGGAAATCTCTGTGCAATTACATGTATCTGGAAAGCATGAGCTGATCTTTAAAATGTTATTTGTAAGATATTTCTCCATCTTAAATCAAATCCAGCTCAGGTAATGATTAGGGAAGGCACACATCGGTCTATATAAGGTTCCACACTTCCACAGTGCATATCAGTAAACCAATATGAAATATAAAGTAAAAAGATGTGTCTGTTGACCTCTAAGACAGGTTTGTCTCTGAATTACAATACAAAATTATTTCTGATGCTCTAAGAGTCCTAATAAGGAGAGTGGCTTCAATCACTTGTTAACAAAGGAAGATTGGAACCATCGAGATTCTTCTAAGTGCTGACTGGTTTTCTAAACTGAACATTTAGGGAAAAAGGACCATAGTCAAGAAAGTGATCAAGGACCCTCAAAAGCTTGAGGGATCATATTTAAAAACACTTGAGGATGTAATTGCCGCCAAAGGGGGAACAGCTTTATTTCAGTAATAGGCAAAGGCTGTGAAAACTTACATAAAGGGATTTTTTTTTTAAGTTATCTATTTGTAATATATTTGCAACAATAAAAAAAAAGCATTGTCCTAAAGGGGTAATGTCTGCAGAGGAAGGATATTCATTTACTACAATTTGGAATAAGGCTGTAACATACATGTGGAGAGTGCTGTTTTGTTTTCTCAGGAAACTGACCTAGCACATACCATTTCTTATATCACTAACAGCTGACAGTAAAATATGTAGAACAGAATAAATCTAACATGGCGCTTATAACAAAGGTAACACCCTATTATGGTTATTATGGTTTCCCATTGATATTAACTGACACATCAGTTCTCTTGAATATATTAGAATGAGTCTGTCTGACTAGGTGCTAGAATTTATACATTGGTCTAGAGATGTCCCGATCCAGGTTTTTGGACTTCCGATCCGATACAGATATTGTTTTCGGACTTCCGATCCGATACCGATACTGGCCGATATCAGCCTATCCGAGCATGTATTTAAAGCTGAAGTCTGTAAGTTTTTAAAAATCATTTTTTGGCATATTGGCTAATATGCAGCTTTAAGTTTAAGTTAAAGTATTTAGCCTTAGTTGTAAGACTCATGTTGAAAAGGGTTTTAGTACTCTTGATAACATCTAGACAGCTGAATTAGGTGAGATTGAATAAAACACAATGATTGGTAACAACAAACTTACCTGTTTATTAAGAGATAAACACAAACTGGACAAAATTATGAATAGCAATCTGAAATTGCACAGTGAACAGTTAAACTGTAAACAGTTAAAGGTGCAAGTTTTAATAAAAATGCAAAACAGACAAGAGTGGAAAATAGTCTATTAACTTAGAATCAGGACTCTACTCTTGAAAAAAGACACTGCTTAAAAAAAAATCAGTGCAAATAATAGTAAACTATTACACAAAAATGCCTTATACTCCCCAATCTCCTCCACACCTAGTCTCCATCTACACATCGTGCAGGATAAAATAATCCCACACGGCTGACATTTTCCCCGCTATCTTCCAATTCACCTGTTTTAATGGTTAGGCCGGGAGACAGACCCAAAAAGACATGTGGGTGTGTTGAAGGTGTTCTGGAAAATGCGGACCGGATTCGGGGAACACTGGCGCAAAATAGTGGAATGGATTGTTTCAATCGGCGAAACTGGAAAATACGGACCGGATATTTTTTTTAAAACTGGATCGGCAGTCTGGATCGGCATTTTTACATGCTTTGCCGATACGCATTTTTTGCCAATATCGGCGTCCGATCCGATACAAGGATCGGATCGGGACAAGCCTACATTGGTCTGATTGAGAGGGACCTAAATTTGTCGGAGTTGGAGAAAATATCTACAATTAAAATATAAAGTTAAAAAAAACAAAATGAAAACAAACTGAAAATTGCATTTTCTCATGTTTAATCACTTAAAGGCCAAAGTTGAATTGATCACTAAAAGCATCTTAACATTCTTCTTGGATTTGTACCTCCAGAATTTTTCAGCTAACTAAAATATACACTTTAAACACACAGTTTGTACATAAACAGTGTCAACAGATTTACTGACTGACTGGAGGAAATAAAAGCTCCCCAAGTTGGGGAGGATGTACTGCCCCTAGTGGAGGAGTTAAAGTATTATTGGGGTCTTGTTTGAGAATGAGGGGAAGATAGAGCGGGAGATCGGCGGATTGGTGGGGCATCTGCTGTGAAGTGTGCAATGTACCGGTCTGTTGTGGTGAAGAGAGAGCTGAGCCAAAAAGCAAAGCTCTTGATTTACTGGTTGATCTACGTTCCAACCCTTATCTATGGTCATGAGCTTTGGGTCATGACTGAAAGAAAAAGATCCCTGATACAAGCGGCTGAAATGAGCATGTCTGGTCTCTCCCTTAGAGATAGAGTGAAGAGCTCAGACATCTGGGGAGGACTCAGAGTAGAGCCGCTGCTCCTCCAGAGGAGCCACTTAAGGAGGCTCAGGCATCTGCTTAGGATGCCTCCTGGACGTCTCCCTGGTGAGGTCCCCACTGAAGCTGCTACCCCCGCGACCCAATCCCGGATAAGCGGAAGAAGATGGATGGTTGGATGGATGGATGGATGGATGGATGGAATGTTAATTTGTGGAAAATGTTTGTTTAAATCTTTGTTACTGTTGAAATAAGTACTTGCCTTAGGGAGATGCTTCAGAACCTGCATCACCACTGGCTGTATGGAAGTCATTTTCACCAGAGGAAAGCTCTTTTCCAACAGCTCTTCAAGCTTTCCATATCTGGGAAAACATTGAAAAGAAACATTAAAATTGTGGGCTCATGTTTTCTATTGGCCCTCATATTGTTCCTTTCAGCAAACTTCCAAACTTAGCCAAGACATGCCTGTCTTCATCCTTGCCCTCTGCAATGACGGCCACTTGCTCCATCAGTTTTTCACGAAGCTCGTCGAAGACGGACTGGTGGAACTCCAACCGAGGTGTTCCATGAAGGTCGAGGAAGGGCAAAGCAGACTGCAGTGTAGGGAGCAGGATGCCATTTTCCATCTGTAGTCATAAAAAACAAAAAATAACTCATACAGAGGTCAGTTGATGTGCACAACAGCAGTGAGCTGAACACAATCACTACCCTATTCCACTGGTGGATTTGGTTTGTAATGTAAACTTCCTTGAGGAATTATGTTTAAATTTGTCATTGTATGGAGAACCCAAATTTTGTCCACAACACTAAACAGAATACCTTTTATTATTTTTATTACAATATAGGTAGATGGTGCATTAGTAGGGAGAGCCATTTCAATTAGTACTGCTATTAATACATTTTCAATAAATATTGACTGAAATAAATATCCCTAATGAAATAAAACAAATGAAACATGTTACAATGATTTGTATTTTATTATATTTCAAGATTTTTATTTATTCAAAGATTTAATAATTAGGTAATGTATTTATTTTATTATTTATTTATTTCATAATGGAGTATTATTTTGCCACACTTTTATTTTGTAAAGCTACTTTACATATTCAATCTTTTATTTTTTTAACTCAGTTTTTTGTATTTTATGCTAATTTTATTTCCTGTTCTGATATCTTAACGGCGGGGCAGAGTTTTATCTGTAGGGGCGGCGCTGGTAACAGTTCAGCAAGTCAGGAGTGAAACAGGAACTACCTTGCAAAATAATCGGACAGGACAAGAACAATGTCTGAAAACAGAAGGAACTCAGGCTGACTGAGAGAAGAATATAATAATAATCATAATAAAAAATTTAGAGAATCGTCTGTACCTGATCTGTCATGGGAAATGGGATCCTACTTCTGGGAGCTAACTTTTTGGCTTTGGGTTTATACATAAATATAGTCTTTTGAGTTGTATTTTTTAATTTTGTTTTAAACTTATGGTATATAATGCACAATCTAAAGAGAGACACAACTAAAATGCAGATACAAACATGTAATCATATTTTGCTGGACTTCGAGCATTTCACGGTTTCGTGGTCACGGTTTTCGGTTCGGTTCGGTATATGCTGATTGTTACACCGAAATCCCATAAAATGAAAGAATCCAAAAAAAAATTAATGAACTGTAATTATTTTTAATGATCTGCGGAAACCATGGATCTTTTCCGCATGTTTTGCTGCTTTGAATTTAATCATCTGGCGCATGCCCTCTACCATCTCCAAGCTCAGAGCGGAGCGGACGGGAGCCACAGCGGAGGATGTGTACTTTGCTTTGTGTAGGCAGTCTGGTCCCTTTGCTGGACCCTGTTGGCATACGTCATTCAGTGCTCTAAACACGGCCTCTGGCAGTCAGTAGGGATGAAATATAACATGGCTTATGTATGTAACTATGGTTCTATAAATCCTGGATGACCGCCAGAAAGTTCAGTCCCTCGGTCTCGCTGGGCTCACAAGAAGATGTAGGGACTGAACTCCCGGTGTCACATGGTTATATAGACTTATGCTGATTGCAGGTTGGTCACATGTGACTTTGTTGATACTAATTTTCACCTGCAGATTGATCATTCAGTGCATGAAGCACTGCCTCTTGCGGTTATCTGGGATTCATAGAACCATAGTTACATACATAACTCACGTTTCTGCAATACAGAGGTACTCTGCCAATCCTAACCAGTGCCGCACAACAGATAAAACCCTGCCTTCTCATTTGATTATAAGAACATGAAATAAAATAAGCTTATAAAAAAACAGTAAAGTAGCTTTACAAAATAAAACTGTCACAAAATAACTCAAGATAATAAAATGAATAAATAATTAAATAAAAAATAACTAAATAAAATAAATTAAGTAATAAATACATCTTCAAATATAATAGAATAAAATAAGATTTAAAATATTTTAAGATTTTGTCTATTTCATTAGGGATATTTATTTATTTAACAGAATATATATATTTTTTAAATGTATTAAGGCAGTATTTATTCATTTCAGAGAAAGAAAGATTTATTTGGTTTAAAATAATCTGACTTTCTGCACCTAGAGAAACATCATCTATACATGAGCTATAATGGCTCATTACTGGCTCTGCTTAAAAACTTTCTCCGTCGGTCCTAAATCTAAACTAATATGCGAAATTGAAACCTAAATGAAATGTTTGCCAACTGCATTACAGAGCCAAAATACTTAACTCTTGGACTCCAGTTATATAATACAGTAAATACTGCTATAAAACCAGCATTTTCGTTTTAAGGCCTGGACTAATAAAAAGCATTCTCCTACATATTCCTCAGGTCATTGTAATGGTCTATTCTGTCTTCACCAGTAGATCTATAACAAAGGTTAGCATAGCATTTTTTTAGAATTAATAATGAATTTAAAGAGTAAGGACTTCTCGGGATTTCATTTAAATAAATCCGTTTTTGGACAAATAACGGAGCTGTTCACGTTACCTGAAACTGATCAATGGCTTTCAAAGGCTCTGTGCAGTTGGTCAGAGTTTCCTTTAAGTCTTCGCCATTGGCTATCCCGAGTTCCGGCAGCCCCGCGAACATCTTAGCTGTGCTCTGATCATTCACTTTGGACAAAAAGCCGGAGGAAGATATTCAAGCAGGTATTTCTGTAACAAACTGCCTAAACGGTTCGGGTAGACTGCAGTATACAACATCTGACGGACATTACTTCCCTTGTGGTAACTTCAAAACAGTCCGTCAGAAACACGTGCGAACAAAGGTTCCGCGACACCTTCTTTCCGATTTTTTTTTTTGGCGCTTTAAAGGCACAGTAACGTTCATAAAGACACAAAAAACAGGGAAATGAAATTTTCACAAGAGTTTTTATTTAAAAATGTAACCCATTGCAACATGTAATATGGTGAAATATAATTCCATTCATTGCTATATTTCAGACATCCCAAGTTCCAAAACCTAATTTCAAGGAGATGCTTATCCCTCAACCCCGGGGGCAATGGTTTCGCACTGTGCCCAATACAAACACACTTTTATTTGTGACAGTTATTTCTTAAACACAAAACAGAACAGTGTTGGTCTTTTATTTTCAAGTTTCAATACTTTCAATCTTGTAGCCTTAAACATCGGTTGTACTTTCTGTTTTTCATGGGACTTCAGCATACAGTGCACCTCACCACGGTGTCATCATTCCTCACCATTGCCGGTTCGAGATAGCGGCCATCGGTGGCAAGTGCCCCTGTAGATCATGTCCTGGTAGCTTCAGTGTTATTAAGATAGGATCCCAGTTTTCATCTGCTAAATGTTTATTTTTTCACAAATAAAGAAAAATTCTTAATTTCTTTCTGATGAATTTAACATTTTTTCTTGAGTTCTAAATCAATTTTTATAGAAAACTGTAGTTTTAACTTAAATTAAGTCAAAAAATATGTAAAATTCCTAAATTATAAATGTATATTGACCTCATAAGAAAGAATTTTTATTGAACCTAATATAAAATAAATTTCTCTTCATGCAGCTATCTTAATATATTTGAATCCCTTGCCCTGTTTTTTATTTCATGCTTTTCTGTGCCCCCATGAAAACAGGCTGACCCCCTCCTTGCCCCCTGGCTTCACTAGACGTGGATATACATTAGTATATTCTGCTGGATATATGTTAGTATATAAAATTACTCCTATATTTTTTTTTTTTACCCGAGGAGCTTTGGGTGGTAACTAGGTGACTGCCCAAACTTATCGGACTGATCCAATCAGCTCTCTGACAACCAGTCGCCTGGAAAGCTGGTTGAACAGAGCATCGCTTTGGACAGATACGCTGGACAGGTTCCACCAGCAAACCTCCTCCTCACACCCCGCTCTCTCTTGTTGTTCCTGCGCAATCGCAGTAGTTCTAATCTGCACATGAGGCACAAATTATTATATTGCCTGCCCGCTCTCACTCGCATTACATAAACATCACTTTGCATAGTCTAAAATCCGGGATAATTTATCCAACTCGCAGGCATCCGTGAACAACTATCTATATTGTGGAGACTCACGGAACTTCCAGGAAACTTGGGATGTCTGATATTTATGTAAAACTTTTTCAAGCGTGCCCCAGAGGAAATTTTAAGATCACAATAAAGCTCCTAAAAGGTAAACTGCCCTTGATTTAAATGAAATCTAAAACCACTAATTTAGTCATAAAGACTATATGACTATACTAACAACTCTTTAGATGAGGGTAAGCAACAGGATGTAACTGATGTTTATTTTAACGAAGCAAAAGCAAAATAAGTTTAAGCTTCTGACTCATTATTGTGTAAACTATGAACTGGATGTGCATCAAAGATTTTGTGTTTTTTTTTCTCTAGAACTATGTTGATGCATATCTTTATTTGATGTCTTACAGTTTATGTAAAACAAGTGCTGCCAGCAACATTTCTGACTGTCATTATGGTACCGATGCAGTACCACTAAAGGCTGTATCTGAAGAGATAAAGTCCCACTTCCTTTAAACAATCAAGGAGAAAGATACACGCACAAATTGTTTTAATTAAAAAAAGATTTTGATAAGGTCTGTGGTTGTTTAGTGCAAGGCAAATCTTTATGAATATAAACACTTAATGCTGTGGAAAACATGGGCCTCCTTATAGATATCTTCTGTATTTAACACATTTTTACACTTATTATCTTTGATAGGGCTGCACGGTGGGACAGTGTGTAACATGCTTTGCAGCTTGAAGGTTCTGGGATCAACTGAGTGTGTATATGTGTGTGGGTGGATGTGTGTGTGTGTGTGTGTGTGTGTGTGTGCATGGTTATATACCTTTGTGTGTCTTATCTCAAAAGCTCATTTGAATTCCACCCCCACCTAGACCTTCATGTCATGTATCAATGGTATTTGATAATTTCAACTATTGTGGGCAAACCCAGGCTAGATTAATTTCATACCTATTCAATTATGAACTCACTAAAAAAAGTCTGTTAACTTGATGTGATCTAAAATATTTTAAAAAGTAACACAACAGAATTTAAATAGATAGAAACAAATTCGTTGATTTATAGAATGTTTTTAGAGCCTAAACAGTAGTGTATAGGATTTCCTAAAAGCGCCCGCCTGCGAGTTCACGACTCTACGGAAACCGCGGCCGACCAAATCAGATGAAAGTGCGCATTCAGCTCGGCAAAGAACTCATGCTCTTCCTCAACAGAAGTCCTCAGACATTTTTCTTTCGTTGTTTCTTTCTTTGCACAGGTAAACAGCACATTTCTTCTTCTACGCTTGCATTATCGGCAGAGCAGACGCTGAATGCGCACTTTCATCTGGTTTGGTCTGCCGCGGTTTCCGTAGACTCGTGAACCCGCAGGCGCGCGCTTTTAGGAAATCCTAAACACTACTGTTTAGGCTCTAAAAACATTCTAAATGACTTCGTTTCGAGTAAATTATGGACGCTACCCACTCAGGACACTTGGAATACATTGGACGAGCCGTATGGAGGAATATTGACACGTTTTTTGTGGACTTTTATGGACTTTTCTGCCTCGGGCGCTATGGACCTCCATTATTTGAATGTCAGCAGACAGCAAGAAGCCTCCCAGATCTCCAGATGCATTTGAGATATCAAAAAAGTACTCCAGAGTGTTGTTCAGCATGGGGGTGAGTAGAAAATGAAGGCTAATCATGTTTTGGGTGTACTATTCCTTTAAACTGAGGCAAGGATTCAAACAGGAGGTTTGGATCCAGTCTCCTTTTTGAGGACGTTGAAATTACTCTCTGAGCAAGGGAATCATCTTCACCACGACCCGTTCAAGTGCAGCAGGAAATCTGAGTGGCAATCAGCGTCTCCGTTCACCTACACCATCCGAGTTCTGGGTAAACCCTGTTCCGCCCTCCGCCGAATCAGACATACACTGGAAAACCAACACGCAGATTGGAGTCAAGGATCCTTCACTTCTGCAACAATCAGATCCTCTCCATTTTCCCACTGAGCCTGAACTAACAGTCTGTCTTCCCCTCGCCTTCCAGTTCCGGCTGAGCAGAGTTCAGGGAAACTCTGCACATAGCTTAACTTCTTCGATAAAATCCGTCATACTTTTCATCCGTGTCTCTCTTTTTGGTTTCACTGCATGTGGGTCCGAGCCTTAGATAAAATCATGACACTATCCACTTCTTTAAAAAGAAGTGGTCTCCTATGATTAATAACACATCCCCCAGTGTTTTTCACATTGGAAATGAAACATAAAACACGGCAAAAGTGTTGATGTTGTTGCAAGACCACATGCTATCCCTCTCATAAGTCGGTAATTGTGACCTTATTGCCCAACCATTTGATGATTGGTGTAGCCAGTGATGTAACACCATGGGAAACGTGGCAGTTGTAGAAAAAAAGCAGGTTCTACTTTGTATTTAAATGTGATTGCAATGTGGTCTACTATGTGCAAAATGCCTTGAAAAGTTTAAAAGACTGATGCATTTAAATTTTTTTACAGATTCGGTTTTACAAAAGTATTGTGTTGTCTCTGGAAAACAGATAAAAGATCAAATAAAGATATTCTTTGGAGTATGATTTTAGTGAATGTTCATGTTTCAGAAATAATGATTTTTTTTTTTCTAAAATGAAAATGTAGATTTAGGCAAGCTAGAATAACTTTTGTAACAATTGATAAAAGTATAGTTAAAACACAACTGTAAAGGTAAAAAATGAGATGGGTGCAAAGGACCAATAATTGATGGTGTCTATGCTTGTCATCATGATACATTTATGCTGTGTATGTCTTAGGTACAGGAGCCATAAAATTTACCAAGATAAGTTCTACAGGGGCACTGACCCCTGCTGGCCTCTAGAACCACCCATGATGGAGCGTCCTCCTCTCTAACAGAATATCATGAGGCAGATTTTGTGACCTTAAAGGTATAGTCGAGGATGTTGTTTTTCTGAGTGGATAATTAAAATAAGTGGTCCTCCCAGTTGTCAATCATTCTGGTGATATGTTTATGTAAGGCTGTTCTACATGCTCGTCCCCATTTTCACTGTGGTGAGTCTGACATAGTGGAAAAACTACAAATCCCTAAAAGTAAGCTTGTATGAGCAATGCAAACAGCAACTTTTAAAGAGAACGTGCACAAGGAGAAATGCGCTCATGCATGTGATTAATAGTCGTTCCCTCTCAGGTGCAGGTACAGTTGTTGTGTTGTGCATGTGCATTTTTTTTAATTGGAGAGGGTGGGTCTTTTCAAAAATCTGCAAAGATCCTCCACTATACCTTTAAGCTCAAGTGCTTTCAAAGATTTACCACCGTGAATTCAAAGTTTGCTTGGCCAATCTAAAAATTCCAGTTTTTATAATAGCAAAATAAAAACAGAAGAAATCCATATAGAGAGTCTCCACTGAGAGCCAATATTTTTCAGAGCAGAGTATGATGTTTGTTCAACATGTTATATTAGACGATTGCTTTGCTGGTGACAGTTCTTGGTTAGTTTAATTTTATACAAACAGTTGTGGTTACAAATTTGTTTTATAAACCAAATGCTGAAGAAAAAAAAAAAACTTCTTAGCTCTTAAAAAAACTCAGGTGGTGTGTTACCCTTAGAATCTGAAATCTTCTCCTCTAATGTTTGCATTGCTGCAGATCATCATGCCATATACCAGAACAAAAAGAAGAAATACAACAAAGAGGAAGATGATGCCACTCCAACATTTCGGGGGGAGAGCCTTCATCACGCTAAGACTCTCTGCTGGCACTTCATTGCTCACGTT